TAAAGCTCAATACAAATCTCAACATGTTTCGCCCTTTCTTATGTAATCGTGTAATGGCTAATGATAGTCATGGAGTATTAAAAACTAAAGGGGCATCGTGAGCATAGCAATTCAGTCGAGAAGGCATTATAAACTGTTGCATGAACTCCTTCCACGTTCATGCAAAGGTCAATTTGACCCGCAATTCCACGCATTTCGCAGACTCCCGCCTCTTCTGTTGCTTGTCCCGTCGGTGCCACTGCTTAAGCGGATGCCATCAAGTCAACAACGCAGTCGTGGAACTGGTTGGATGCATGACGACCAAGATCAGTGATTAGGCCAGACAGCCTCGAGTCGGCGCGTTTCACGCCAGACTCATTGCCCAAACAAGGATTGAGAAGTGGTGATGTCCGATACAGGTCAGAAGGTGAAACACTGACAGATTACATGAATCTGTCAGAATGTCCTCGGCATTGTTCCTTGTTTGTACCACTCAACAAGGCCGACATGCATGCGATGTGTCGCTCCCAGTAACCATAGCCCCGAGACAATGTATGAACTGGCAACATTCTGTGGACGAGGTGGATTGAGGCGGGGTTGTTGGCCGGCTTGTTCTAGTGCGGGGCGGGATTACAATGACTTTTGTGCTTGCTCAAGTGATTGGCAAAGAAGACACGAGGGAGCAGACGGACGAGGTGAAGAGAGACACAGACCAATCGACTCTGGGCCGGCAGACAAATCGGACCGGGCGATAAGTGGATGAGGCAGAAACAGACTGATTCCACCGCCGAGACTGACCACATCCTGTCCGGCAGAGCTCGAATGGATGGTAGGACAAGACCAGCAGTCAGATCTGCTGGCCACAACCTTGAAATCGGCGCGCTCACGACTGGACCGTTGACGGCACCGTCCTTCTGAAATGCCGACTGAGAGGAGGCGGAGGTGGTGTGCAAAGACGACCCTCTTCGTCAGCCTGACTGTGACTCTTCTCCTTTTCTCATGCTGCTTCTTCGAGGATTTGACCTACGCCGGACAAGGCTGGAGCCACGAGTGGAGAGGAGAATCACTGCGGCGTCTGCAGAATGTCACCTACGATTACATCATTGGTGAGCCTTAGTTCACGCCTGGATTGACGGAAAGATACATTTCCGGTAGAACCACTTTTCGAGACTACCACCAACAACACTTTATGTAGAAGCCAGTCAGCCGAGGTCACTTGTGCAATGATTTAGGGACTGAAAGTTGACTTTTCCGACAATTTGATGAGCATTAAGCTTCACTTGGACTATCTCATCGAGGCCGGTTTGTAGTTTCGATCTTGCCTTTTCAAAATTCTTGACTGAGCAATACTTACACCAAAAATAAGTAAGCTCTGGAAAAGTCATAGTTGCCTAATGGAGACTTCCATTATATCATTTCAGAAAAACTGCCCAATCAGCCTTAAATCACCTTGAGCGACCTTGATTTTCTTAGCAATCACTTAGCAAAACATGTATATACCTAAGAAATCATATATCCAACGAAATTTAACGTACAATTTATATTTATGAAAGCTATTATCCTTAAAATAGTTTCAACTTTGAACGGGTGTATTTATCGTCAAGTTAAAATTCAGATTTCTTGAGAAAGCGATACAATTTGTATCAACAAAGAAGTGAAGCAAAGGCTATTGTTCCAAAAATTTTCATCCCTTCAACTTCGACCTCTCCTGGGTACTCTTGGTAACTCGGCGGGATTCGAATT